GAAGTAACTGGGACTCTGGATTGGATAGCTTGCATATGAAAGATTCATTCACCAAGACATCATTTTCTATCTATAGGGATGAGCTCACCCTGGGTGGGGGATGGGCAATACATGGCCCTAGGTGGGGAAAGCATCAGCAGCAGCAGTCAGTCAGGACAGGCTCACACAGCATCAGGCTGAAAAGGAGAGCTGCTGGTCCTGGAGGAGATCACAGAGGGAACGCTCAGGGCATTTTGAAGAGAAACAGCTCTGCTTTGATTGGTTTGATATTGTTTGGGTTTTGAAGGGCCATATCACAGAGAAGAAGAGAGTCAGAAAAGCCAGTGTGGGGAGGGAACATTTGACTGAGCCAGGACAAGTGAGTCCAGTCAGATATACGACAGTTTGGGGAAAAAGCTGGTGGAGGTAGTGAGTCCTGCAAGGGCAGAGGCCCTGTCTGGGAGGAACGTGGAGACAGCTAGGAGGAAAAAAGATGTGGACTCCTGAATATCTAGCAGGGGCTTTTGAATTGCATTCCAAATGAGCTAGCTAATAAATCCTAGACACATGTAGGTTGCCTACGTGTGTCTGTGTGTCACAGGACTAATTGACAGGTCGGGATATGGAGGCAAATTATTATGACTGAAGAAAAGAACCCCAGTGAGGTAGGGGTTGGAAACCCAGTGCTTCCTGGACCAGGAGGTAAGCTCAGTGAGTGGGTAGGGTTCTGAGGACTTGGAGGACAGAGATAACCATGCCCTGAGCAAGCAGGTTGGAGGTCCTGGGCCCCTGCAGATCACATCATGAAAGTGGACTCTAGAGTTGCCAAATCTTCCCATTTTACAAGAAAGGCAGGAAATACAGATTCTTGTGAAATCTCCTGAGTTTCATGAAATCACCTGGTAATCCAGTGGATCAGTTGACCTCCCTGTCACATGGAGGCTGGCCACGTGGACCCATGCTCTGCACCTGTCACTCAAATTGAACTATGAAGGTCAAAGAGGAAGCAGGGCCATGACAAAATACACCTACATTGGGAAATTGGTTCTAGTAGTTACTTTTCCTGTGGCTGTGATAAAATTCCCTGAGAAAAGGAATTTAAGGGAGAAAGATTTACTTTAGCTCACAGTTCAAGGTACATGTAGTCCACTGTGGTGTGGAAGGCCTGGCAGCAGGAGTTTGAGGCAGCTGGTCACACTGCATCTGCAGTTGGGAAGCAGAGAGAAGGCTGCTGCTAGCTCTCTATTTTATGCATCTAGGACCCCAGCCCATGGAATGGTGCTGCCCATATTCAGGGTGGATCTTTCCACCTCGATTAACTTTACCTAGATCCTTCACAGGCTTGCCTACAAGTTTTTCTCCTAGCTGCTCTAGATCCTGTCAGGTTGATAGCAGTATTAACCATCATGCTGATCAGGCATCCAAAGGCCTTCACCAAGGTCTTGAGTGGACAACTCTACCATGCCTCACTTGTGTTTCTTCATTTACAAAACTCACTCATTCTTCCACTCATCCAATATTGTGTGCTGTGCCAAGAAAAAGACTTGCATGAAGAGCAGGAACTTTGATAGGAGTTACTTGAAAGTGTATGGTTATCATGATCTTTCAGCAAATCAGAAACTAAAAGGTACAGTGATTGTCCTTTCCTTTGCTGTCTCTGTGTGATTAAAGTGTCCTGAAGTGATATTCTGGAAGCATATAATGAAATACTGATGATTGATGGGGCTGAAGGGCTGTATCATGTTCAAGGACCTTGACCCACATCCACCCTGTCCGGGTCTTCTTTGTGACCTGGAGTGTGAGCTCAATGGCTAGAAGTTCATCTTGAGTCTGGTGGAACCATCACCTTGTGGCACACAGATGCCTCCCAGAGGAGTATGTTGTATGTGGCCATGTTTGGTGTTGACAAAATTTTAGCTGCAATGGTTATAAATAAAGCTATAGGGGTTGGAGAGATGGCTCAGCAGGTAAGAGCATTGGTTGCTCTTACAGAGGAACCCAGGCTCCATTCCCAACACACACATGGCAGCTAACAACCATCTGTAAATCCAGTTCCAGGGAATCTGATGCTCTCTTCTGACCTCTGCAGGCATACATGACATAAGCACACTTACACACATACAGGCAATACACTCATACACATAAAAAAATAAAGATATAGGGATTGGAGAGATGGCTCAGCAGCTAAGAGCACTGACTGCTCTTGTAGTTCGTGACTGCTCTACAAGGTTGCCCTCTTGTAGAGGACCCAGGTTCTGCTCCCAGCACCCACATGGTGGCTCACAACCATCCCTAACTCCAGTTCTAGGGTATCCAATGCCATCTTCTGACCTCATGGGGCATTGCCTGACATAGGTACACTTATATACATGCAGGCAATATACTCATATACATAGTTTGGAATTCTTTTTATTTAATTTAATTTATCATTTTTATTTCATGCATATAAATATACTGCCTGCATGTGTGTAAGTGCACCCATGTCATGCAATGCCCATGGAGGACAGAAGAGGATCTCAGATCCCCTGGAACTGGACAGTTGATAGCCGCCATGTGGGTGCTGTGAATTGAACCCAGGTCCTCTGCAAGAGCAGTCAGTTTTCCTAACCGCTAAGCCATCTCTCCAGCCCAGTTATAGCATTTAAAATTAAAACTCAAGAGAGTAGGAACAAATAGAAAACTTTAAATGGGTGTATGAGACCATGTGTCCTTCTATAACAAAATATGATGGCCAGGATGTTCTAAGCAGTTGACATTTCTTGTAGTCCTAGAGGATGAAATTCCAAGGGGAGGCACTAGTGGGTTTGGTGTCTTGTGGTTTGTCTTTGTGACCTGCCTTCTTGTGTGTCCTCACCTGACCTTTCTTCAATGCATAAGATTGGAGAAGGGTTTGCTGGATAATAGGATCAGTACCCCACCCTTAAGGCTTCATTTAATCCTATCTCCCTATGTCCAGATAGTCACATGGGAGGTAGGGCTTCAACATATGAATTTTGTGGGGACACACTTCAGTCCATAGCAATAGCTAACATTATAACTGGAAATGTGATTTTTGTTGTTTCTGGTCTCATCATGATCCTGCAAAAGCTGAGAGGTTACCCTGAAGACTACCCAGCCTCTCATTTGGAACCACTCCCTGCTGTGGTTGGGTGGAGACAGGGATGTCGGGAAGAGCCCGGATCACTCATAGGGAACGGTAGTGATGACCATCTAGAATAGTGACTGCTTGGGGAAGCCTGTGTTCTTAGAAAATAAGCTTGTGCTCACCCTGCCTACAGCTGCCCCTGTGTGTGCCTGTTTCCTGTGCTCTTGCCACCTCCCACCTGTAACAGGGCCATCATGACTTCTGGATAGATGCCTTATACACTAAAATGATTGGGGCCTTTCCTTCCTTCCTTCCTTCCTTCCTTTCTCTCTCTCTTTTTCCTCCCCCCTCCCTTCCTTCCTAGCTTTCTTTTTTCTTTCTCTTCTTTTCTTTCCCTCCCTCCATTCCCTCCCTCTCCTCCCTCTTCCCCTCTCTCCCTTTTCCCCTCTCCCTTT